CGCAGTTCAGATATTCATAATACGAATCGACCGCCACTTACCTCCATCAACTATCTCTTCACGTGCCCAATCACGACCATCCAATCGTTTTATGGTCGTTGGGCACGGTATTCCTTTCTCATTGAGGATACGGCAGAGTTTAATCTGGAAATCTGGAACGGAGTGCGAGGAATGCTAACTATTAGGCACCGGATATCTTAGTGTCGTTTTTTCACCATGAGTTTCGGACCACCAATATTTTAATTCAGAATCCGAGGGAGTGAAACGGCATATCTATCGAATGACTACATTAGCAATTAAAGCTAGGAATTTTTTGAGTCGAAAAAGAGAGGTAGGTCGGTTTTGACATCATCTGACAAATCATCCCTCTCACTTGCTAAAAAGTTAGGCCTGGACAAAAGAAGTATACAGTTAGTTAGAGTAGGGTCTGCACTGTATGGTGGAAAAGTTAAAACTTACCAGCTCAACTGGACAATTTTTCCAGGTTCCTTTCTGCCACAAACGCAGGGGTCAAAAACGCACTGACCCAAGAATTTTCAAAAAAAGTATAAAAATTGGGGAAAGTTAAATTGTGAACCAACAATAGAAAACAATAAGCAACATATTTCGCAGTATTAATGAGCAAAAAGACTTTCTGAGATATTGATTTTCCATAGTAATCGGCCCCAAAACTTCCTGAACTCAGAAAAGCGACACTAAGATATCCGGTACCTAATATTTTCGAAAAAGAGTTGAGGCTGAAGGGTTTTTAAACAACGATGTTTTGAAAAATATTAACAATGAAATATTTCCTCAAATTTCAGGAAAAATGGATAATAGGTAGGAGGCCTACAAAAAATTTTGCGCAAAAATTCGAAATATGTAGAAAGATTTTTGTTTTTTAGAGGACATGTTGGTCGCATTAAGAAATGCTATTGAAAAATGTATCCAAGCTTTTAGAATTTTTTCATGGATTTCTGTGAAGTTTTAAGATCTCTGAGTTTAATTTTATAAAAGCTAATTTCAATTTAAAAAATTCGCTAGTATATGCTGTTTTCATCATGTAGCTCATGTGTAGCTCCCCCACCCACTTGGCAGAGTCATTTCTCCTTTAACCAGTTCAGCTTGTAATATCCCAACAATGGTAACAAAGCTGTCCTCCTCTGCGCATGGGTTTTGTAAGTCCCGTCGCTCTCACCATAAGCAGATAAAAACGGATGGAACGAAGACAAGTAGTTTCAGAGGATATTGTCAAGTCACTTCACATGAATTAAGTTGAAGAAGCTATATATCAAGCCAATTTCCCACACAACACACTGTCTTGCAACCGAAGTTTAAAATGGTCGTCCAGTTAAAAAAGCTAAGTTTTGTCCCAAGCGCACTCTTCGGGAGATTCGCAATCACCCACCTTAAATTGTTGCCATTGGCCACAAATTGTTACTATGGACGAACATGAGCTTGTGGGCCGTTTGACCCAATTGGTGGCGTCCTTGCAAACTAGCATAGACAAGGTAAACATGGAGTGACGCTGATGGAGTAGACCACAATGAAGTGTGTTTTTTGGAAATCAATTTCTAGCTAAATTTCGCGCTAGACAAGGTGTGTCCCGTTGCGCACCTCATCCTCTAGGTTTCCTACATACAAGGTTTCCTCCCTGTTGTTGGGCTACCGAGCACGTTACCAAGGCGCTATTTCACCTTGCCTAAGCTTCCAATGTTCAAGTTGTCATGCTTTGCCAAAAATTGCGCGTCCGTCGAAGCCGTGGTAAGTATGCCATCAAAAGCGGAGTTTAGGCAAAACGGGGGATTGATGTTGAAATTTCTCCAGAAGGGAGTTTTAGGTCCTATGCCTGCTTGTTGCGAAATAATCGCAACCAACAGCTAACGAATCAAAGTAAGCTTAATCAGTAGATCGTCTCCAAGATTAGGTGTACATCTCAATATCATCAGATTCGTTCACGATTTAAGAAGATGACGTTCAGAAAGTAAAATCTCCTACCGATGTTTTCATCACATTTCGCTTCCAGAGGATTGGAAACTTTCAGAATGGCCCTAGAGGGGCCGGTGCCTGTTTCCCAGATCATGTCGCTCAGGAGAAAATTACAATCCTCATAGCCAGTGAGTTCCTCCAAAGCCGCTAAACAGGAACATTTTGTGACTACTCCGATTGAGATAGATCGTGCAGACCTTGGTTGATACCGTAGCTGGACTTCAGGAGACGATGAAGATGGTAATGCTCGGGTATGGGAGCCTGCGTGACCTCATCACACGAATAAGGCTCCATGTTACTGCAAGTAATAAAAATCCAAAATTTTTTGGAAGAATCCAGCATTCAGCGATCATTTCCCTTGTCCATGACCCGTGCATCTGTCCCCACTACATATAACTACTAACACAGAAATACAAAAGCAAGCTGAAAAACCATTTAATCATTAGCTATTTACAAGGTTATCGAACAAAATCGAATGAGCCGCATCGATTGTTGATGAAAGGAGTATGGAAGTACGAGAAAGTCGTGATAAGATAAGCACAAACAAGGGAGTGCACACTCGAAA